CTTTCGTCTCTTTCATACATTAGAAGTAATCGATAATTGTAAATCAAGAAAACCGTATATAAAGGAAATTTTTGGAAATAAACTTCACTTACTTTTCAAACCAATTCTGAGCAACTTCGTTCTCATTATTGAAGAACCCTTGGTTAGGCCAAGCCGCTAATCTCCCTTCGATTGTAGACTACGCATTTAGGTGTTGTGTCATTTCGACGGATATTAGTGGAATTGGAGAAGTTCGTTTATTCTGACTTCCACCGCTAGGTACTAGGTTTACTAGCCTGTCAGTCTGAAGTCTTGATTAAATTGTTCTGCTCTAAAAGGTCTCCGTAAGCAGTTCTAATTGAATAAGTGTTTCGTTCCCTTCAATTGTAGACTACACACTTAGGTGTCGTGTCATTTTGATGGAACGAGAGCTTATTCTACAAGACACATTCGATTACCCTTCCTTTCCACCGTCAGGTACTAGGTATACTAGCCTGCCAGTCTGAAAGGTTAAGAGTAAGACGACTGAGTCTTAAGAATCGCAACCATCTAGGGAAGAATTCTTTTGGTGAAAAGAGTATGTCCGTAACCGCGAAGTCGCGGACTAATTCAAAACGTATAACCCGCGCGCGGCAAGTACGTAGTTCGCGACCACCGAGTTACATTTATGTTTTTTTTTCAGGTTTAATTCCTGAGCAATGTCTGTTTCTAATAATGACAACGACGAGCCAGGATCTAGAAATGCGTAGGTGTGAATGCATTTATCCTTATTTCTCAAAGTAACTGGCAATATTTGATAATATGTTGTTGACGGTGTTCCTTTAGCATGATGGTTATTGACGACCTGACGTGTTTCCAATTGATTATCCGTAATCTCAGGAGTAGGGTGAAGCATCTTATGATGTTTCTTAATTCATCCATTTATTCCGCAAGGCCTACTTTTTGGACATTTAAACATATTATGCGTGTTAGATACTAAGCAGGTGAAGCATAAACGTTCCTTCTGTGCTATATTTATTCTTTCCATAATGCTTAGCCTTTTGAAATTGAAGCAATCTGTGATTTTGTGTGAATGCTCTTTCTTACAAACAAGACATACCGTTCCGATTCAAATTTCGGACGATTCAAATTTCGGACACTTTCATTTTTAATTAAATATTACATCCAGTTAGAAACAAAGTAATAATGTTAGATGATCGTGGAGGGCACTAGTCAAAAAAAATTAAAATTTACAAGACATGTGGATCATATTCGACCGAGATAATCAACTTTTAAAAGTGTCCGAAATTCGAGTTTAAGTGTCCGAAATTTGAATCGGCACGGTATTCCTTTAGGTTTTTCTTTTATTGGCTTCTGTTCATGATGATTTATAGTAGTTCTTTGAATTGAAGATAAGCCTGCCATCATGGCTTGCGATGTTTTTGCGAATGGTTTCAACCATTCATTTAAGTCGAGCAAATTTTGAACTGCTAATTGATTGGTAGCATTCAAAATATATTCAGTTCTCTTGAGTTGAATATTATAAGGAAGCTTCTTTACTAAATCCTCCACGAGTCTGTAATCTGCCAGGTACTCTGGTCGTCCCATTAGATTTACATTGTTTACTAAATTTTCCAGTGCGTTTGTCATTTCCAGTACGACGATCCTTGATTCTTTTCTGATTTTCAAGAGATCATTAAGTAGTTCTTTGTACACAAGTTCCGGTCTTCCGAAGTTTTCTTGTAAACGTTGAATAATTCCTGGAACGTTTTCCGAGTCCATCATTAATTGCTGAACACTTCTTAATGCTGCTCCGTACAACACCTGTTGCAGTCTATTGAGATTTTCCAAATTATTAAATGCACCTTCTTCCGTTGTATCGTCAAAGGTCTTCTTGAAGTTTGGCCATTCCTTCGCTGTGCTCCCAAATTTCGGCAAACGAATTAATGCCTGCCTTTTTAAGTATACTGTCCAATCTGTTTCAGTTCCTTCTTTCTTGATACTAACCGCTACTAGGGTCTTAACCACTTCTTCTATCTGCTTCTGTTGTCCATTGAGAACCCTTTCCATAAAGGCTTCACTCGGATTGTTTGCAGTTGCCTTTGCTTAATGTTTAAGGCGACTTAGCTCTTTACTTATTCCTTGACATTTGATACAAAGGAATATTTCATCTGGTGTTGGCTTTCGCACCAACTTTGCGCAGGATGGATGGAACCATCTGTCGCATTCCGAGCATGCGACCATGTATTCCTCTTTATCGTCCTTGTCTTGACACAGACGACAACTGCCGTTTTCGTTGTCAACAAATTGGTTAGCCATTTTAATTAGCTAATAACTTCTCTGTCATTAGCTCGTACACTCAGGATTTTGAATGCGATCCTGTTTACTGGTAGGTTCAGTTCTGATATCTTACAAGTATGCCCTCGCAAGGCAGTGCCTGGTGACCTTATTTCTGGTCTTGCTTTAAAATCCTTCCCAAAGAATTTTCTGTGATTCACTTAATCACCTGTTGTTGTCTCTTTTCGACAATCAATTTGTACGTCTTCTCAAAGTATCGTACCTTGTTCTCCTCTTAAGGATTCTTTGTGATCCAACCGATCACTTATTGTTGCCTCTTTTTAGGCTAGCGATTTTACGTTCCCTCTAGGGATTGTACTGTGTCCTTCTCTTAAGGACTGTTTAAAATCCACTTGATCACTGTCTGCTGCCTTTCTTTAGGCTAGCAATTTTCTTTCTTTTTTGAAACAATCAGGTTGATTGACTTACCGACCTTTAGATCGTCAGACTGCAGTGCCACCTTTGATTTCTTCTAACCTGAATTATTACTGAAGTGTTCACGGCTTTCTAATGTCACTTATAGCCTTTTTATTGATTCACATTTCACAGTTCTTCAGTTGAGTGTCTTTTAGATTTAAATTATCTGGCACTATCAAAACTGTCGGGAATAGTCAATCACTTGAATATCTTCAATGTTTCACTTGAAAGTCTGCAACCACTTTAACTTGGTCTGTTAGTTCAGCATTTGAGAATCAGTTGCTCTGGAACCTATTTCTTGACACCACAATGACGCGTAAACTTACTAATGTGTTGTTGAAATACGCGTTCCTTGGCGGTTCCACGCCACAGAGTAATTTCAAACACTTAGGTTTCACAGTATTCTCCTCTCAAGAGTGGCTTTCGTAGCCAGTTTTTGTACTCTGCACTGTTTTTCACTACTTTTAATTGAGCGTCGATCTCTTGAAAGTATGCGACAAGCTCATTAATTTCGCCGATTAAGTCACTCATGACTTTCTTTGTACAAACTACCGAGACTGTTCTTAAAGGCGACAGTATGCCATGTGAATTCTGATCGTTAGAAGCTACAATATCCTCGCGCGAGAGATGTGCAGCTTCCTCTCTGGAGCCACCATAAATGTAACTCGGTGGTCGCGAACTACGTACTTACCGCGCGCGGGTTATACGTTTTGAATTAGTCCGCGACTTCGCGGTTACGGACATACTCTTTTCACCAAAAGAATTCTTCCCTAGATGGTTGCGATTCTTAAGACTCAGTCGTCTTAATCTTAACCTTTCAGACTGGCAGGCTAGTATACCTAGTACCTGACGGTGGAAAGGAAGGGTACGACAATGGCTGGGAAGCTCAAATTGAGCAACAATTGGTTGATCGAATCAAGCAAAATTTAAAGGAAATCCTCAAAGGCACCGTCCAAACCCTGATTCAACAATTTCGCTGCACACTGCGAAAAATCGAATATAATGGTCCATTGAGTGTACTGTAAATGCATTTTTCAACAGTTTATAAATAGAATAAAATACCCTGAAGAAGATTTTAAAATTAAATTGTTTGATTTCAAATGGCATGATTTTTCCCAGGACTTATGTTACATATGTTAAAACGCTCATCAATCAACTTAGATTAAAATATTCTATCGGTGGAAATTTGAAATATTTAATTTTATCATGATTAACATTTTAGGGAACAGCAAATAATTCCCCGCATAAAACAACGTTTTCCCCAGATAGAATACTTTAAAATCAACCAATTTCAGAATGTAAACACCCAATCTTACTTCTGGTAAAGAATGACCCAGATTGGAATAGAGATTGGACTCAACCGTATCAAATTTACTTTCTACATTAATCGAATAGGACCAAGGCGTTTCATCTTTAAAAAACAACAATCGAAAATGGCGGTGAAACCGGTAATTGGTTCCAAAAACCCGACTAACAAAATTTTCCATTCACCTCTGTTTGAACCCTTTCGCATGTGCAATCCGATCAAGGCCTGTGACTGTGCACGCGTTTTAAATTAAATTAAAATTTTACCGAATTTTCTTTCGCAACTTGCTGCGCTTTTAAATTAAAATTTGACGACGAACTTTCACGGATTTCGCTTTGGCAAGGTCGCGGGTTTACTTGCAGCCAGGTGAAACCACGACGCTCAGTTCACGCTTGACACCCGAGGTCATCGCCCCAGCCAGCACGTGGACGACGTCGGATAACGTCGAATTGCAATTCGATCCGAATTTTGTGCATCGTTTTAGGCAAATGAGGTTAGGATTGATCGTACCAATTGAGGCGTGTTGTTTACGGTTGGGCAATTTGGCAATCCAATCCTCAACCACCGTGCGGCGAACGGCAGCGCTCAATGAAAGAAAAATGTTTTCTTTAATTTTTCGTAATTATGACATTTTTCTGTTGTTTGCATTGGTTACTGCTTATTCAGCGAAGCGATTGAGGGGGGGGGGGGGGGGGTGGCAGGAGGGAGTTGATCAAGTGGTGAATATCTTCGGGTGTGAGATCAACCCCCACCCTTGCAGGGTGAAAGACGATTTTCTGTGTGCGAGAGAGAGCGAGAGACCGACTTGTGGGGGTGAGAAATGGAGGAGCTTTCTGCGTGAGGGAAAAGCTCCGATCGTGAAAGCTCCCGACCACCCCTAGCCCAGGTGGAGATAGAACGAAGCCGACCACTGCCCGATCGCAAAACTAGTGGCAATATATAGCATATTGTTGCTTGTTTACAAACGATTATTATTCGCGCCGTCCGTTCGCCGTTTAGTTGCTCTACTAGCTGAGGTTTTAAGATCTAGCAGAGACTGTGTGGTGTTGAGTTCAAATATCGCATTGCCGTCGTCGTTGTCGAAAAGCCGAAGCCCCGTGTGTGCGCCCGGGTGGTGAAGTTTTCAAGTGTGTGGAGCCGAGATCGATCGACGCTGCCGCTGACTGGATTACTCTTGAAGTGTCTCTCTAGCGAGCAAGTTGCCTTTTCCCGAGCCGCCCTCTCGGTTGGAGAAGAAACGGAAATCAATGTAAGTTTGGTTTGGTCACAGGCAGCGGGTCAAAGTTCGCGGGGTTTTCCTCTGGGGGAGGATCCTGGTGTTCCGTGGTGTACGGTTATTCTGAAGTTTTTTTTTTGGAATTTCGTTGAAGAAGACAGTTGAAGGTTCGAAAAGTGACTTGAGTTTGGAATCGATTTGGACGATCTGAGTGATTTTTTTTTTTTTTTTTTGAAAAAAGTCCAAGGAGCAAGCAGCCTTGGAGTCCGTGAGTGAGTGAGAGCGAGAGGGACTAAGTGAGAAGATCAAGTGAGCCGAGGTAGAGCGAGAGAGAGATAGAGAGAGAGCCCGTGCCAATCACCAAGGAGAGAGTGAGATGGAGGAGGACGGCGTGTGCCACCCAACCAACCGCCGTCGTTGATTTCGAAACCCTTGCGAGGGTTGTTCGAGAGGATACCCAACCAACCAACCGACCAACCAACCGCCCGAACAACGCCACAGCGCGCACTCATATGATGTGAATGGATTTGCTAATAGCGATTTCAGAGTATTATACAACTTTCAATTTCGTTACCGCAATTGGGTACAACACGTTTTGGTTCGCTTTGCTGACTTTCTGCTGTCTGTGCGGTCCTTTCGTGCATGTGCTAAACTTCCAGTTCGAAATTAGTCCGCCTTCGTCTTCCTCCCCGGTAGCGTCAACCTGAAGTCCGTAAGTACGTACGTAACACAACCGGGAGGGATGCCCTGATTTCGTCAAGGTCGTACCAGTTACGGACCCATGTGAAACAGTCTCGCAGCCGTGTATGAGAAGACATTTCCGCACGCGTCCACCCTAACAGCACTGGCACCCGAGACTGGCGTAATCGAATGCCAGTTTTCCTATGTGCGGAATGAGGGAGACCAGTTCCTCACAACCTCCACTCTCGTCCGGCGGGTCCACCGAGACTTCCTTCTTTCAGCGCACGCTGCGTTGCCATGCTGAGTGACATTCGTGTGTTCACTTTCGGATTGCATGCATTCGCAGCTGGTGTGGACCGAAAAGTTTTCGCACTCACAAGGTCACCGAGAGTGAGTTGGGAAAGGGGTTGATCCTAGTCGATCAGTGAGTGGAATATTTTGGGAGCGTTCTTCTTTTTCTTGTTTTGGCTTTATTACGTCCCCAGTGGGACGTTTACGCCGGCTTCCACGTAGAGAGCTTTCTACACGCTATTTGACAACTACCCAAATTTGAGTAGAACCTATCTAGGTTGGTCAAAACTGAACCTACCAAAAAATGAGTAAACTAAGTTGAGTGTGACAAGATGACAGTCGGATTTTGGTCGATGTTGTTTATTTGTCAACCTGTCACTCCCAAAACTTAGTTAACCCATGTTTAGGTAGGTTCAGTTTTGACCGCTCTTGGTGAAGTCTACTCAAATTTGGGTTGCCTGCACCATTTTTGCATTAGTAGAATTGTGTGGCAGGTACAATCATACTCAAGTCCTAGGGAAGTCGAGAAAGTTGTCAACCCGAAAAATTCCTAGACCGGATCGGGAATTGAACCCAGCTGCATTCAGCATGGGGCTGTCCATTAGCTACGTAGACCGTTTTTGAGATGGCTCCTTACTGCGCCAATACAATCGCCCATACACATTTAAGCTTGTTATTACCAGTGACATTTGCCAAATACCCCCCCCCCCCCCATCTCGTTACCCCTAAAGTGTCTACGTGGTTTATGAACAGACCCTTAAGGAAGTCTAGTTTTTGATGATTGAATCGGAGAATTACTCGTTCTATGAGAAGTTCAACTTTCAGGATTTTTTTTATAATTACTTTATTTGTACAGGCTCAATCGAATAAACTTTACAGAGCCGCGTTATGATTTCCGTTATTACTGTCTTATATTTAAAGTTAAAAGAACTGGACCGAGTACTCGCGGTTGTCTCGAGGTTAGTGGAGATTTACAATTTTTTGAATGGGAAAAAGGAAGAAAGAGGTTTGAAATGTGGTTAACGATACAAATATTTAAGAAAAACTAGTCACAAATCGAAATTTTTAAATAATGTGAAGCATTTCTCATTGATGATATTTTTTTCTCAGCAGTCAGAAAAATTTCTCATGTAGGGAAAACGTCTTTAATGGCTTTAATTTAAAATATATCGGCTAAATATCCTGCTATTTAATGTTTCGTTGAACAATGCGTAATCTGCACAATAAAAACTGATATTTCAAGAGTAACATTTGAAATGGGCCTATGTCCAAAACGTAAACAAACCAGAAAATGAATGTTAAATTTTTCCGCCACTATTCAATTCATATTTAAGAAAAATTTAAGTATTCAAGGCATTAATATTGTTCACAATAACAATAGTAACTGTACCTCAGTATCTAAAATATGTGAAAAGCTTTCAAAAATATATGAAAATCGATAACAATTTAATTTCATAAATTAATAAGCCTTTTTTTTGAGAATCTTTCAATGGAAAGGCCCTTTTTGTTAAGCCAATCCCAACAAACAATTTGTGCTGATTAAGGGCTGAATAAGCTATTTCTTAGCTGAAGAAGCATATTTTTGCCTGAATAAGCTCTTATTCCGCTTTCAATGTTTGTTGGGATGTGCTTGTCATCAGAAATGGTACGCCCTTTGCTAAGCCTTTTCGCAACGTCAAATAAATTCAAAACAAATCATCGGCCCTGTCTCAAGCAGTAAGGCCTAGCTTTGGTTTGAACATTTTCAACCATCGACCCTTCTACGTCACTACCCAAGTAACATTGCAAGTTTTATCGAGGTTTTAAAGCATGCTACAAGTCTAATTCATGGTCTCCAAAACCCTTATAAAACCCAAAATTGTTGCTTGGATAGGCTTATCAATGAAATGAAATAAATGAATGGTTGGCCGTTTTAGCGTGTAATCAAAATATTTCGTTGATCGACCGTTTCGAAAATCAAGCTATTTTTGATTATTTTTCTCAATTTCTAAAAAACACCTCTTCCACTTCAATTACTATGTCATTTATGGATGTTCCCTTATTTGTTGGAGAAATTTCTCGTTTGTAAAAAAAATGCCTCTGCTTATTGTGGAAAAAAACAACCCAACGAGCCATTTTGTAGCTTAAGAAACATGTTTTTGCCCAAACAAGCTCCTATTCTGCATCCGATGTTTGTTGGGAAACTCTCTCTCTCAGTTTCAGCATTTTTCATGAGTTAGAAAATTCTGGCTTATTTTTTTTATTTTTATAACCATTTAAAAAACTCATTCCTCATTTGTGACTTATCCGGGGATGAGATTTGAACTCGTGACTTTGGCGTGAACGCCGGAACCGTCCACTTTCATGTACATACAAAGGCGATAAATGTGTAAGTGAGGTGATTTTGACTACTTGTTGGTAATGATCAGAGCAATGATGTCATAGTTAACTGGATACAGTGAGATGTAAGATTTACACTCCCGATCATAAGTTTAAGGACACCCCAAAAAAAACATGATAAATTTGTTATGTTCATATTTCAAATTTTCGATCTCTTTAGATCATTTGAAAGGTATTGAATGGAACTTTCCTCGTAGGCAAATCGTTCAATATAATTTTAAAATTTTGTGTTACCATATTTTTCAAAATTTACTCTGAAGAATCGTGACTGATTTTCTCGGAATTGGGTTGGCCAAATTTTGAAATAAAATTAGTAGTAGAACACTTATGCTATACCATTAATACCATTCAAATAACCTTTGGAGATCGAAAATTGAACGTAAAATGAGAGATCATTGAACAAAACATATTTGCACGGTTTTTTGGGGGTGTCCTTATACTTATGATCGGTAGTGTAAGGATGATTGTGACATTACTCCTGTCAAGGCAACTCCATCATTCAGGATCTTGATGATAATTTCATGACTGCAATGGTCATTAATACAAAAGGATCAGCTTACGATGGTGATTTAATTCATGGAATTCATAATATTTCGCATATCTGGCAAGAATTTGTGATCACCGGGCGCCACATTTCCGAAGCTCTAAAATAAACTTGAGTTTTATTCATCTCACACATCGTGTTTAACGCATCATTCCTTTAATGCCTAGCTAGACTATCAGCACGAAACGAAAACGAAAAAGAATGTGAATTTTTTCGTCGTTGCTTTTCTCATCACTTTCAATGAAAGTAACGGTGATTATCGAGTTGAAACGAAAACTCTTTATGGCGTTCAATCCCATGCTCCGACACTCTGTCACTGCTCTTTCAATTTGTTTATGGTTCGTTATGTACCGTTTTAGTAAATTTTTTGACGTGGGATTACGTCTTTCGGCAACATATTGGGGATGCCATTCCAAAAAACCAAAATCGACCACGCCACGAAATGTGGTCAGGTTTTGACCACTTATAACTCTGTCAATAGTGGATGGATTTTAATTTTATACGAGCCAATCGATTGGAAATTTTCCTACGAAACTGCTAAAATGAGCACCAGGGTGTTTCGTTCTGGAAAAAGATTGATTTTTGATGGGCCGCCCCCTAATTCAGTTCATAACACAAAAACAAACAGCTGTGGAAAGAATCAGCTAAATTGGTCAGCGTTCAGAGGTCGCGACAACGATTTCAATTTTGTTCGGGATTTTCATCAAATTAGTATGGGACAAAATGATGACCAACTTAAATCATTCTAACTTTTTTCTTAATTAACCGATTAGCATGAAATTAAAATATGTTATACTTAAAACTATAATAAACAACTTTGTTGAAGGCTGCAAGTCAATTTGATGCTTCAGAAAACAGAAATTGGCTTTCGGAACTCAGATTGCAGATAAACCTTGCTTTGAGCAGGAAAGCAGGTATGCTGATAGGACATATATCATAGTATGCTTTGCCAGATTTTTTTTTACCTCAATGCAGTTGCCATGGAGTTGAGAAGTGATACGGAAAAGTGGTTGATCGGTCAGCCCATTACCAGATTCGCCGGTAATTCCGAGTAACCGAGAAGTACTGCAGCTCTTCTTTTTTCATCACGCACAATATCGCTCCACGATACGACAATGCTGCTGGAAGGTGGTTCAAT